CCACCATGCTTAAACTATTATTGCCAGTACACCATGCTTCATTATTATTGCCAGTACACCATGCTTCATTATTATTGCCAGTACACATGCTTCATTATTTTGCCAGTCCCACCATGCTTCCTATTACTGCCAGTACACCATGCTTCATTATTATTGCCAGTACACCATGCTTCACTATTACTGCCAGTACACCATGCTTCATAATTTTGTTGCCAGTACACCATGATTCACTATTATTGCCAGTACACCATGCTTCATTTAGTATTACCAGTACACCATGCTTCACTATTATTGCGTACACCATGCTTCACTATTATTGCAGTACACCATGCTTCACTATTATTGCCAGTACACCATGATTCACTATTACGGCCAGTACACATGCTTCACTATTATTGCCAGTACACCATGCTTCACTATTATTGCCAGTACACCATGATTCACTATTACTGCCAGTACACCATGCTTCACTATTATTGCCAGTACCCCATCCCTTCATTATTATTGCCAAAGTACACCATGATTCACTATTATGCCAGTCACCATGATTCACTATTACTGCCAGAAACACCATGCTTCACTATTATGCATTTACCCCATGCTTCACTATTTTGCCAGTACACCATGCTTCATTTATTACTGCCAGTACACCTGCTTCACTATTTTTCCCCAGTACACCATGCTTCACTATTACGGCCAGTAACCCATGCTTCACTATTATTGCCAGTACACCATGCTTCATTTTTTATTGCCATTTACACCATGCTTCATTTTATTGCCAGTACAACCATGCTTCTTATTTTTGGGCAGTTACACCATGCTTCATTTTATTGCCAGTCCCATGCTTCATTTTATTGCCAGACCCCAGCTTCATTATTATTGCCAGTACACCATGCTTCATTATTATTGCCAGTACACCATGCTTCATTATTATTGCCAGTACACCATGCTTCATTATTATTGCCAGTACACCATGCTTCATTATTATTGCCAGTACACCATGCTTCACTATTATTTGCCATTTACACCATGCTTCATTATTATTGCCCAGTACACCAGCTTCATTATTATTGCAGTACACCATGCTTCACTATTACTGCAGTAACCATGCTTCACTATTACTCCCAGTTAAACCATGCTTCACTATTACTGCCAGTACACCATGCTTCATTATTATTGCCAGTACACCATGCTTCATTATTATTGCCAGTACACCATGCTTCACTATTACTGCCAGTACACCATGCTTCATTATTATTGCCAGTACACCATGCTTCACTATTATGCCAGTACCCATGCTTCATAATTTTTTTCCCAGTACACCATGCTTCATTATTATTGCCAGTACACCATGCTTCACTATTTAATTAACCAGTACACCATGCTTCACTATTATTGCCAGTACACATGCTTCACTATTTTGCCAGTACACCATGCTTCACTATTATTGCCAGTACACCATGCTTCACTATTATTGCAAGTACACCATGCTTCACTATTATTACCATTTACACCATGCTTCACTATTATTGCCAGTACCCCAAATGCTTCACTATTATTGCAGTACACCTGCTTCACTATTACTGCCAGTACACCATGCTTCACTATTACTGCAGTACACCATGCTTCACTATTACTGCCAGTACACTAGGGGCGTACTTCCATATGAGCGAATGAAAACCAACAAGAACGTAATATTTAATACCATATAATGTTTTATAAAGGCCTAATATTTTCAAGAAACCGCCTAAACAGCGTCCTAAATTTACTGAGCAGCCAGGACCCATTCTGAGAAAAGTACAGCCCCTTTCTAACTAGAGGCGCCTAAGAAAAGGGTCACTCCTAGGGAAACGGCGTGTCTAGAATACTAGTTATAACCCCTTTGACCTTGCTCGTCTCGCCCCTCCCCGCCACCTGTTCAACCCTCCCTCCACGCTTGATACCTTGTTCTCAACGCTTGACATCTTCCCTTTTCTTCCACGCCTGTGCCTTCCTTGTTCTCCCCGCTTGAATCTTCCTTGTCTTCCACGCCTGATGCCTTCCTTGTTCTCCACGCTTGACATCTCCTTTCCTCCCGTTTGACACCATTCTTACCCTGACTGTAAAATCGTGGGCGGCCCGCCCTCCCACACCCCCTGACTGCCCAAAATCGTTGGCGGCCCGCCCTCCCACCCTCTGACTACAACATCAGGGCGGGGCCCGCCTCGAAGTCAGGTGTTTTCCACGCTTGCAGAATCATCCAGAAACATCCTGGGTGCCGAGATCTGTCTTGTCTTACCATTCCACATCATCTTCATCTATACTCCTCTTGTCTGTTACTCTCCCACTCAACCTGTTAGCGAAACCCGTCACTCTCCCACTCAACCTGTTAGCGAAACCCGTCACTTCCCCCTCAACTGTTAGCGAACCCCTCACTTCCCACTCAACCTGCTAGCGAACCCGTCACTCTCCATACAACCTGCTACCCAAAACTGTCGCTCTCCCACTCAATCTGCTACCGAACCTGTCACTCTCCCACTCAACCTGCTACCGAACATGTCACTCTCCCACTCAACCTGCTACCGAACCTGTCACTCTCCCACACAACCTGCTACCAAACCTGTCAGTCTCCCACACAACCTGCTACTGAACCTATCACTCTCCCACTCAACCTGCTACCTAACCTGTCACACTCCCACTCAATCTGCTACCGAACCTGTCACTCTCCCACACAACCTGCTACCGAACATGTTGTTAGGTAAGACACATATGCAACAGTTAGGTATCTTTATTTCGAAACGTTTCGCCTACACAGTAGGCTTCTTCAGTCGAGTACAGAGAGGTTGATAGAAGCAGAAGATACTTGAAGACGATGTAATCAGTCCATCACCCTTAAAGTTTTGAGGTGGTCAGTCCCTCAGTCTGGAGAAGAGCATTGTTCCGTTGTCTGAAACAATATGAAGTTGAAGTGACAGAATGGGGCCTTTATATAGTGCCAGGAGGTGAGACGTAGGTTGCTTTGGGAGGGCAGGTCCTTCTCAAACCAGCCGTTCTCACTAGTAGAGGTTGTCGAAGTGGTCTGTACCAAGATACCCTTGTGTTGCAGTGTCTGACAGAATGAACATTAAAATGGTATGAAATACCGACAGATTGTTAGGTAAGACACATATGCAACAGTTAGGTATCTTTATTTCGAAACGTTTCGCCTACACAGTAGGCTTCTTCAGTCGAGTACAGACCACTTCGACAACCTCTACTAGTGAGAACGGCTGGGTTTGAGAAGGACCTGCCCTCCCAAAGCAACCTACGTCTCACCTCCTGGCACTATATAAAGGCCCCATTCTGTCACTTCAACTTCATATTGTTTCAGACAACGGAACAATGCTCTTCTCCAGACTGAGGGACTGACCACCTCAAAACTTTAAGGGTGATGGACTGATTACATCGTCTTCAAGTATCTTCTGCTTCTATCAACCTCTCTGTACTCGACTGAAGAAGCCTACTGTGTAGGCGAAACGTTTCGAAATAAAGATACCTAACTGTTGCATATGTGTCTTACCTAACAATCTGTCGGTATTTCATACCATTTTAATGTTCATTCTGTCAGACACTGCAACACAAGGGTATCTTGGTACAGACCACTTCGACAACCTCTACTAGTGAGAACGGCTGGGTTTGAGAAGGACCTGCCCTCCCAAAGCAACCTACGTCTCACCTCCTGGCACTATATAAAGGCCCCATTCTGTCACTTCAACTTCATATTGTTTCAGACAACGGAACAATGCTCTTCTCCAGACTGAGGGACTGACCACCTCAAAACTTTAAGGGTGATGGACTGATTACATCGTCTTCAAGTATCTTCTGCTTCTATCAACCTCTCTGTACTCGACTGAAGAAGCCTACTGTGTAGGCGAAACGTTTCGAAATAAAGATACCTAACTGTTGCATATGTGTCTTACCTAACAATCTGTCGGTATTTCATACCATTTTAATGTTCATACCGAACATGTTACTCTCCCACATAACCTGCTACCGAACCTGTCACTCTCCCACACAACCTGCTACCAAACCTGTCACTCTCCCACTCAACCTGCTACCAAACCTGTCACTCTCCCACACAACCTGCTACCAAACCTGTCACTCTCCCACACAACCTGCTACTAAACCCTGTCACTCTCCCACTCAACCTGCTACCAAACATGTCACTCTCCCACACAACCTGCTACCAAACCTGTCACTTCCCACACAACCTGCTACTAAACCTGTCACTCTCCCACTCAACCTACTACCAAACATGTCACTCTCCCACTCAACCTGCTACCAAACATGTCACTCTCCCACTCAACCTGCTACCAAACATGTCACTCTCCCACTCAACCTGCTACCAAACATGTCACTCTCCCATACAACCTGCTACCAAACATGTCACTCTCCCACTCAACCTGCTACCAAACATGTCACTCTCCCACTCAACCTCTACCAAACATGTCACTCTCCCAATCAACCTCTACCAACTGTCAC